TTTTCAATATGTGTATATAAAACTGCAATATGTACTGTCAGAAATAAATTACAACATCAAGAAAAAAATATTATTTTAACATAAAAATCTATAAATATATTAGGGAGAACGATGTGAATAATGATTGATGATTAAAGTTTCGAAAGATTTATCACACAAAATATTAAATTTTATGATACTCTATAATCTAATATTTTATACAATCTGATATTTTATAAATTAAAACTGAAAACTTGATGTTACTTTGTAATTAAGAATTTTCTAAAATCTGTTTTATGATAATCAAATTATTTTCATAAATTCTGCCCCCCCTCATCCCTCCCTCCATTGACATTAAATGACGATATGCATAATACCATGTACGAGAACGTCCGCAAGGATGATTTCTACGATAATCCGTACAATCTAGATGGCAATGCGTACAGATAAATCACAACTGTGCAAAACAATTTAAAGAGACGCACCAATTCGATTCACACACTGTAGAAAAGTACGTAAAATTACATGAAAAATAGATATAAAAATAATATGTGGAAATATATAAAATTATGCTTTTTAATAAAAATTAATACTTATCTCCAATTGTGTATAAATATATTTTTATGTTTGACAGAAAATTACACAATAATAATAGTATATTTATAAATATATAATAGTATATTTATAAGTATACTTATAACGTAAATGTATAAATTTTTGTAATATCATATAATGGTATATGCATTAATATTTTTACACATATCAATAAAATAACTTAAGAAAAATTTTATGAAATTCGTTGGTGAATTAAGATATAAAAATTTCTACTTTAAATTTTACTTTAATTGTAAATTTACTTTGACCAATTGTTTAATTACTATAAAAAAATAATCTTATTTATAAGTTGTGACTTTAGGTATCTCTATACATATAAAGATGTATCTACATAAAGATATACCTTTAATAATGGGTCCTAAAATTATTATGGGTCCATTATAATTGTTGTAATTTTACATGTAATTTTTTTACAGTGCAGTTATTATTCCATTTTTGTCATTCAAATCTGTCATATTAAATAACAATGAAATCAACTAATTTTAATCTTTTGAGGATCGGAGCTTTCTAATAAAGTAACTTAATAAAGATTTTGCTTTCTAAAGAGGAATACTGAATTTGATTCTGATTTCAAGTAATTATTAATTTGTAATAACCCGGTAAAAAAAAAATATATATATATTTTTTTTTTCAACGTTTCAATTTGATACAGTATCAGACTGCTTCTCGCCTTGATGAAGTGGACTGCAAGATTGACAAAACGTTGGCAACTGTCCCAGAATGGATCTGAACACAGAGGAAATCTGCGAATGCATAATCTTTATAAAGATGTTAACTACTAAAAATCATCGAATCATGACTTTCAATAATTTTTTACTCAAGTATTATCTCAACTCAACTTTACAGAAAAATAGCAAGTGACAAAAATTGTTTATTTTCTTCTCATAGAGCTCTGAGAGTTTTTTTTAGAATTTTTTAATATCGCATTTTGTCACGTTGATAAAAATAGTTGCCAATATAAAAAAATGCTTAGAGCTCTATGAAAAGAAAATAAATAATTTTTGTCTCTTGGTATTTCTGTAAACTTGATAGTACTCGAATAAAAAATTATTAAATACCAATATAGTTGATGATTTTTAGTAATTGGTAATCTTGTTAATTATTGTAAAAATTGCAAAATAGTAAAGAATTTTTTAACTCAGTTTAATCCGCTATACTCTTATGCGAGAGATTTATCGTTATCAAATCTGTATAATACTTATTCGAAACAATAATGGATCAATAATGGATCAATCCAAGCGTAGGATTTAGAGCGCAACGTTCTGAGCATTTGGAAGAAGCAAGTGGATCGCAGTCTTAATGATATTTTAGATAGCAAGATCGTATTATTTGTTATTATTTTATTGGTAATGTATTGTCAAAAACGTCATTTTTATGACGACAAGGAAAATAGAATTTTATCATATTTTTCGATTGTCAGATTAGTCAAGCTCGTTATCAAGTATTGAGATCCAGGTAACAGAAGCTTGATTTTTCTCAAAAAATGTAGCACTCCCGTTTCATGAGAATATTAAATCCTTTCTTTTAGATATGAGTTTGAAATGGATAAAAATAAGATAAAAAACAGATATATAAATAATTGTTTATCTCTTCCTTTCCTCTTTTTTCTTACTTTTTCTCACTTTCCGTAAATGTACGAAATTATCGGAATTTTACTGAATGGAAGGGGCAATCAATCAAAAGATCAATCTGGGCACCTATCATGAAACAAAGTCGAAATGGATTCCGATCGGAATTATCCCCAAGAAACTCAAGAAATCTAGGGAATAATTGAATAATTCCGATTGGAATCCATTCCGATTTTGTTCCATGATAGGTGCTGGCCAAACTTTTATTATAATGTTTATAGAGAGCACGATAATGAAATCAGATAACCTACAAGAATTGAAAAATGTGTTATCGTATAATCCGGATTCTACTGCACTTATCATCATATTGATGTCAATATAACATTTCTGATATTTTATTGTCATCAAGAAAATCATAAAAACATGATCTTGTTATTTGGAGCATCATCGATTGTAAAAGTTAAATCTGTATGAAATGCAAGATTCTCATTTTAAAAATTCTAAGATTTCTATATTTGTATTACAAGTAATAATGTTAATTTATATAGTATTTAAACTATTTTATACATATAAAACTACATATAATATAGCATCCAATATTATCAAAAAATAATGTTATTCAGCAAATTTAAATAATTATTACATAATATTAAGCTACACTGAAAGAAAAGATTGGTTGCTGCAACAATTTAGATAGTAAAATATGGCATAGCATTTTTATATGGTTGCGGTAATCAGTTTTTAATTGTAGCAGCAAATTTTTAGTTATGTTAGTCTATCCGTAATATTAGTATATGATTTCGATAGACTAACATAACTAAAAATTTGCTGCTACAATTAAAAACTGATTACCGCAACCATATAAAAATGCTATGCCATATTTATTTTATTATCTAAATTGTTGCAGCAACCAATCTTTTCTTTCAGTGTACAAATCAATACTTTATGGAGTTAATAGAAATTCCAAATCTCTGGCCAAATCCAGAAGTACAATTTGATTCAGATAGATTTTTGCCAGAGAAAAACCGAAATCGTCACTCTTATTCATATATACCATTCAGTGCTGGACGACATAATTGCATCGGTAAACAATACTTTTATATATTTTTATATTCTTTTGTATAATTAGATTACGGAACATATTAAATTTTAGATCAACGATTTGCTATGTTTAGCAAAAAAGCATAGGAAATTAAAGCAAACCGTTAAACTAAATATATATTTAATGACTGTTGTAAAAGGTAAACACCGAAGAAATATGAACATTACATACTGAGTAATGAGAAGTAACTCGTTATTCGTAATAAAGTATAAGTTATAATTAGAGTTACTTTTTTTATATTTATACTAAATATAATAAATTTAAAAAATATATATAGTAATTATAAAAAGTAACTAAGATATAGTTACAATTTTATATCTACCACTAATTAATTTAATAGTTACTTTTATAATTACTGTACATATATTTCTAAACTATATTATATCTAAATCTCTCTGCTATATTATATCTAAATACATATGCGCTTCAATTTAACTGATTGTTCATTGAATACTTTTTTTTTGCTAAATGCAGTGCATATATTAGGTGTAGTAAAAAGAAATCCATTATTTTTCCATTCAATTTCATGCAAAAATAATGAATTTCTTTTTACTATACCTAATATTTATTTTTTTCAAATTTATTATATATTATTATAAATATATGCACTGCATTTAGCAAAATAAAATATTCAACAATCAGTTGAAACGAATATGCATCTAGATATATAGTAATTAAAATTACTATATATTTGTTAATGCTCAATAAAAACATTAATTTATCACTCACCAATCAGATGTGCAACAACGGAGTTATATCTTCAATGTCGCGATGATTCTGTAGAACATGAAATCCCAATTAAAACAGAGCAGAAAAAATCAATCAATATTTTTAAAATTTAAACAAAAAATTAAGAAATTAAAAAAAATATTTACTGAACAAGTTATCTTGAATAATTATATAATAACCATATAATTTTTTAAATACATTGAAAAAAAATATAGTCAATTTTAATAAATATTTAATTGAATACTGCCAAATAAATATTTAATATAAAGATATATTTATTTG